AGAGCTAGCACGTCGGCTGCAGGAAGAGATCCCCTCGTGGATCACGGGCAGAACATCTTCTGGCATTATGCCGTGCAGGGCGTGACGGAGCTTTTTCAGCGCGAGCGATGCAAGGACGACTGGTGGAACCAGCAGGAACAAAATTTGAAACGTAATTGAGACTATAGCTGTACATGCCTTTCCTTTTCCGTAAATGAGACTATAGCTGTACGTGCCTTTCCTTTTCGCCTCACCTCCGCCCAGGTCGTGGACCAGATGCGCACCGGCGACCTCTCGGATGAGAACATCGACAATCTCCACGGCCGACCCGTCGAAGGCTGCAACCTGTCGGCCGAGGAAAGCCGTTCGAGGCAACGGGTGGTGGACGGGCCCTGGGACCCGCGCCTGCAGCAGGGCAAGTTCGTGAACGCCACCGTCATCGTGCCCAACAACGATGCCAAGTACCAGATCAACAAAGATCGAGCGATGGCCTACGCGCAACACGCCAAGACCCCTCTGGAATGGTCGGTGGCGCAGGACAAAGCCGGCGCGGAGACACTCCAGACGCAGGTCTGCGACAAAGCGACGAAGATCCGCTGGCTACAATACCACGACATGGAAACCGAAGGCTTGTGCGGCATGCTCCCCCTGGCCATCGGCATGCCCGTGGCGCTAACTCAGCACGTGGACCGCTCGCAGAAGTCGCTCCTGAAGGGCCGCACGGGCTACGTGCATTCCTGGTTTTGGAAGGAGAACGAGCAGCAGCCCAGGGTGGTGCGCCTCGGCCCGCACGCAACCAGCCCCCGCCCCAGCAAAGCTTTACCCGCCTCAGTTGCCGCATGCAGCAAGGTACGTGAAGTTCGAGGGCGCCCAGTGGACGCTGGACGGGACGACCGAGCCCGGACTCTATCCCATACTGCCAGTCACGCGCACCTGGAAGCTCGACAAAAACAGGAAGCCTGCGGTGCTGAAGGTGCACAGGAAGCAAATTCCTCTCGTCCCGGCCTTTGCGATCACGGCCCATGCCAGTCAAGGCAAGACGCTGCCGCTCGGCCAAAAGAAGCCACTCTTCCTCAGACAACATTTACATATAATAGATATGTATATATACATATACATATTTATATCTGTAGGAGGGATATCTGTCTGAATGCTCTGACGAAGATGTGCAGCAAGAAACACAAGGCAATAGAGTCTGCGCGAAAAAAAAAACGCAGAGGCATGCAGAAACTCGCGCATGCGCCAAGGCAGGCCGTCGTGCTGGATCTGAACGTGGACTCCAAGACCCACGCGGCCTACGGCACCGTGGTGGCCAGCCGAGTCCGCAGCCGGCACGACGTGCTGATCATGCGCCCCTTCCC